TACTAGTACTAGTACTACTACGACTACTACTACCACTACCGCTGCTACCACTGCTGCTGCTGCTGCTGCTACTACTACTACTACTACCACCACCACCACCACCAACACCACCACCACCGCCGCCACCACCACCACCACCACCACCACCACCACGAGGACGATGGCGACGACTACGACTGCTACGGCTACTGGTACTGCTTCTGCCAGTGCTGGCCCTGCTGCCACGGCTGCAACTACTGCTGCCTTGGCGACGATTTCAACTACTACCTTTCTAGTACTAGTGCTAGCCTACCTACTACCAGTACCTTTCTTTGCTTTTTGGGTTTGTACGACTGTTGCCACCATGGCTTTGACGGTCATCCGGACTATCTATATTGTGGCTGTACTCTTGGTAGTTTTTCTGCCCAAGGTCTCGACACGTCGGGGCCGAGGTTCAGGGTCCTCGTTTTGCATTCACCGGCTGTCCCTTGTGGGTTGTCCCATGTGTGTGTATATATGATATATATGAACGTATATCACATATATATATATATGTGGTACCCCCTGCATTCTCAATCTCTGCTTTGGGAATGCATGGGTTCTTGGGATGCCCTGGTACCCATGCCACTCTCCGAAATCTCAGCTGCATGACGGCGTGGGTCAATGGGATCGGGGGAGTGCTTGTAGATCGTAAGTTTCTTCCTTATCTTTAAGTTCAAAACTCTCGCCCCGGACCAATATAGAGCGTATTCAAGCGTATTCAATACGTATTCAATTGAATGCCCCTCGGATCCAAGATTCAAGATTCAAGGTTGAGATCTCACAGCAGGGGGTTGTACCCCAACTAGCACCACAAGGAGCTCGGCCACCACAGCCAACGGGTTCGGGACGGCGTGATCGTAATCCAAGATACACGGTTGCCGCTAAGCAGGGAACCCTACCATCGGCTTCTGAACCACGTTGCGCGATCAGAGGGCTTTCCTACGGGCATATCGGAAGCTTGGAATGGTGCTGCACTCATTCGCTTGCTGCGTATTCTCAGTGAGCCAATGCGCGAATCCCGCAAAAATGTGCTAGCCCTCGAGGACAATGACACAGTTTCCAAACACCAAGAGGGCAGTCCACCATTATCCATCCAGGCCATTGTTGAGAACAGCCCGAGGAGAACGGCATTGCACCACAAGGCATCCCGGATACTGTTGAGACCAACCCCGAGGATAATGGCATTCCACCCGAAGATTCGTTGTCCTCGTATTCGTCAAGCGAGTCGGAGAATACCATTGCCTACGTGCCAAGAGGACCTTCAGTGGACGTCGGATTGGGCGGACACCTACACCTCAGCAGCTTGGCTAACAAAGGCCGCCGGCGAGAACCCAACTTGCTGAGCAGTTGATGGTTTGTATCGCGCGGTGCAAGGCCCAGGGGGGAACCGCATAGGGTGTATCAAGATGCCGAGGCCTAGGCCCATGTTTTATTGCGAAGCGCGTAGCCCTACACCTGCTCGAGACCCACAGCAGCAAGAACAAAAGCGTGAGCGAAGTCCGAGACACATGCTTGCGGGTTGATGTGGGTAGTTCTCGGCTAAGTAGTGTCCCGTACAAACACATGTTATCAATACCATACTGCATGCATATTAGTTGCAGTGTGCCCGGTTGCATCACACGAACACCCAATGCTATGCCTTTTTTCTTGTCACGAGGCTCTGTCCCGACAAGGAGATCATCAACGCCCTCATCGCCGACAAGTACATCCCAAAGCGGGAGGGCAAGGCCTGCCTTACTTGCTCCAAAGGCACCTTGTCCAAGCTGCAGCTCGATCCCTGCGGTTGCTTGAAAACATTAAACATCGGTGCAGTCATCGCAATTGCCGCGTCTGGATGAACCCGCACCATCTACACCCACTCTTCACCGAAGGTCAAGGGCCGCAGCTCAGTCGCTCCAAATGAAGGCCGCTACTCAGTCCACCTTCTTCTCGACGTCAACCATAAGGTCATTGAGGACATGGAGAAGAAGACCTGCGAGCTGAGGCAGGAGTATGTCGAGCAGAAGGAAGAGGAGATTGAGTTCGGGGATGGGGAAGGACACCGGGGCTGATGATCAGGAGGGTACCTTTGACAGATGCGACATATCTCAGGATGTGGAGTTCGAACACTTGATCCAATCCAAAGACTGCGTGATGATGTGGGAGTGGGCGGGCATCATTCAGCGCGGCCGCCCCGAGACCGTGATTCTTCGCAAACTACAGCCCAACATCACCGTAAAGCGTGCCCCCTGGGACCGACGACATCAGGAAGATTGAGTGGAAGGCCTTGGGCTGCGAGCCGTTGCGGGAAAATGATCCTGCACACAGAATCTGCCAAGAGCTACAAGCTCAAGCTTCCTGAGGCCCTGCACGACAATGTGGTTCACCGCAAAAAGCGAGAAAAGGTCAACGGGATATGGCAGTGGCAACGAACCCACTATGTGAGGATCGTCACCCACAGGCTGCCCGGTACTAAGGGGAAGACCCTCAAGGTCATCGACCGCTGCTGGCGATTTCTCGAGGAGCCTGTCCTTGCGAACCAGCATACAAAAGCGGGCAGATCCCTACTCCGCGCAGAGCTTAGCTCGGCGCAGTACGAGTACTGCAACCGATATGCTGACATTTGGGTACGCTGTGGTGACCTGTGAGTTGGTTTTATTAAAAAGGTTGTGTCCTGGGACGCAAATTCACCTGGGAGTTGGGACAACTCGTGTGTTCAAGCTGTGCTTCATTCGACAACACCTGCAACGTCTGTCTATTGATGCCACCAACCATAACATGCGCACACGTATGGGTCATATGAACTTTCTCGTACGTAAAAAACTCACCGCAAGCAATGAGCAGTTATGCTACCA